GTGCAACGCAAAACATAAGACAGAACTCTAACTCTCCCTGATGAATTTATGAATTACTCTGTAATTAAGGATAACAAGAAGGAAGTTTGATTATAACCCCTTTTTGAAGTTTATCCTCAATAGCTGTGGCTCCAAGGAGAATTAAGTCCCTTTCAATTTTATCAGCAGCAGCATCCATTAAAGAATCTCTATCAATTTCAGAGTCCTGAGCCTTCAATAACTCTTCTTCCCATGATTTGAATTCTTCTTCACCAAGCTCACGGTATGCAATAACTAAAGTTCGTAGTCCTGCTTCAGCGAATTGTTTAATATGTTCCTTTGTTTTATCTTCAAATTTCTGTCCATTTCCAGCGTATACAAGGAAGGGAAGCAAGTGAATGGACCACTTTACCCCTTCATTTAACGTCAACTTAACATCCATCCGATGGAAGGACCAACATTGGAAAGAATTCAAAAGTCAAGGGACTTAAATTGTCCAAATTAAAAGTCGAGGACTAATTATGAAAAATTAATATAGTTAGAGGACCATTGCTGGAATTAACTCTAATTTAAAATATCAATTTCCATTCATAATCTCCCTAATATAATGCTTAAGATTCCAATTGAATTATATCCATAATTAAACATATATCTACAATTACTATTTAATCCTTTTGATTTCAATATATCCTTAATTACTTTCACAATCTCTTATAATCTCAACCATTCATGGAAAATGAATCAATGGATATCATGAGATCTCATGATCTCATCTAGTATAGGGGTTGCACTAGATTCGAAGCCTATATATATATATATATATATATAGGTTTAAGTTCCGGTGCGGGTGAAGGTTTCCCGTGCGATTGTGTGAGTGATTAATGTGTGAGTTTTGTACTTAGTGTGCTTGAGTATTGTGCTTAAGGTGCATGAGGTTTGTGCTTAATGTGCGTGAGTGTGTACTTAATGTGAGTTGTGGGAGTTGTTGAAACTTTAAAGTGCATGAGTTTTGTGCTTAATGTGCGAGAGTTTTGTGCTTAAGGTGCGTGAGTCTTATGCTTAAAATGCGTGAGTCTTGTGCTTAAAATGCGTGAGTTTTGTACTTAATGTGAGTTGTTGTTAAAACTTAAGGTGCGTGTGTTTTGGGGCATAATGTGCGTGAGTTTTGTGCTTAAGATGCGTGAGGGTTGTGCTTAACGTGCCTGACTTTTGTACTTAACGTGCGTGGAGTTGTATTCTGAATGTGTTTTGTTTGTGTGCTTAATGTGCGTGTGTTGTGTGCTTAATGTGCGTCAGTTTAATGCTTAATGTGCTTCTAACCGCACAATCGCATGAGAAGCCCCAAATGCATCTAATCCCTTCCCTATATATATATATATATATATATATATATATATATATATATATATATATATATATATATATATATATATGATCTACCATCTCATAATAAAATAGTAATACTGTTACGAATATACTTCATCTCACTAGTTGTCTCACTTAAATTTTTAGGGGTAATTTTCGAATCATCTGTTGGGAGTTGACAAATTTGAACTTACAAATTTGACATTCTGCTAGTTCAAATGCTGAAAACCTAGGTGACGATTAGATTGTGTGTATTAATATATTTGGTATTGTTTCTAACAATGTAATACTTGACAATTGACAATGCTATACTTTTGTTATTGTTATGGAATATGAATTTCTTAATGTAATATATTTTGCAATTATATTATTGAACTACTATATTATAGGTTTAATACATGTGTGAGATAATAATTACTAGGCATATATATATATATATATATATATATATATATATATATATATATATATATATATATATATATATATATATATATATATTTTTTTTTTTTTTAATTTTAAAAAAATTTAGCAACGTACAAAAATCGTAACAAATTCGTAACTAAATACCTTCTAACAATAAAGAATGACAACGAAATAGCGACGAAAATATTCATTGCTAAATTTAGCGACGGATATTTCCATCCCTAAGCGGTAGCAAAATGGCATCCATTATAAATTGCATCGTTATTCCGTTTTTATAAATTTTGTCTTTCAAATCGTCGCGGAGAAAAAAATAGCGATGAATTTTTTAATTTAGTGACAAAAAATATCCGTTGCTAATATTAGCGACGGAATTAGAATTCGTCGCAACACTTTAACAACGGACCGAATCCGTTGCTATTTACTTTAGCATCTGATTTTTCCCTTTATAGCAAGGGAAAATTCAGTCATTATTTCCGGGTTTTTAAAAACCCTATTTTAAAGTAGTAAGGTGCTAATCTTTTAACCCAATTGTATATTTCAATTCACTGAATTTCGTCATTTGCAGCGGTTAAAGTTTACTAATTCTACATACATACCCATTAATTCTCATATTGAAGACTAAAATAATAACAAGAGTTTACTTTTGCACAGTTGATGTTACTAATTTGATTTATTAATTCTTACATTGTGAACTAAACTTATAAGAAGCATGCATTTACATACTTTCCATTGGCTGTTGCAGCAAGTAATTCAAACTAGTTGCCTATCCACGGTTTGGAAAATTGAATTGGCACTACCATTTCTTTCACATGATGATAAGAAAACTCATCATATTGCCCACACAACTCAATTGATTCTTGTGTGATAAATTATTGGCAAGGACATAGATTTGAGCCCCGCAGTGTGAGATGGTCAACTTCTTCTTCTTCTTCTCATTTCGTCTCTTTATCACACTATTACTTCCATTGCTTGTCGTGGGGTTTGACGATTGTGAGGAGACCCGGTGCAGGAGTAGCGGTCCAGGAATCCATTTCCCTTTCAAGCTTAAACATGAGCAGGCGGCACAGCACTGTGGGTATCCGGGATTCGAGTTATCCTGTGATAACAATGGCAACACTATGATGGAGCTGCCGCAATCGATGCAATTACAGGTTGATCAGATTGACTACGCATCCCAGCAGATCTTCCTATCTGACCCTGATGGTTGTCTTTCCGGCAAGATGCTATTACACCTTAATTTATCTCTATCTCCATTCCAATTTTCCAGCTCCTCACCCAGGGACGACTACTCCCTATTCAACTGTTCTTCATCCAATGATTCTGGTGACACAATTGATGATGGCTCGATTTCCTGTCTTGGTGTTCCTGCTCACCAAATATATGCCATTCCCTCCTCACACTCGATTGATGACTTCCTGTCATCATCTTGTGTAAAGTTTCGTGAAACTACGTTCCAGTATCCTTTCCATGGTACTCTTCAACTTATTTGGTTAAGTCCATTTTGCGCGAAATGTGAGGTACAAGGCAAAAATTGTAGGTTAAAGAACCATAAAAACATCACACCGGAAGTTCAATGCCTTAGCAGACCAAAGAAGACAGGTAGATGCTGTGTTACGTTATTGTTGATTTCTTTTATATCATCATTTGAAGTCACGGTAGCAATGAAGCATATATTGGCAACCTCTAAATTTATTCCCCCAAATTTATAACAGATGCACCAGGATCCAAAAGCCCAATTATTATTGCAGGTGATGATGATACTATACTCTTCCAAATATATTAATTTATTATTCACTCTGATTATATTATATTGCCTGGGGCTGGGAATTGACATAATATTATATATGCCATTTTGATTTGTTTTCTGCATCATATATATGCAGGTGCCATTTTGGGCTTCTTTCTGTTGGCATTTGTCAGCTTTGGCGCCTACCAGTTTTACACCACCGGTAAAACACAAAAACGGAACCAGAAAAGAGTTGAGAAATTTTTAGAAGATTACAGAGCTGTGAGGCCAACAAGATATAGCTTTGCTGATATCAAGAAAATCACCAATCAGTTGAGTGAAAGACTGGGGGAAGGAGGTTACGGAACTGTGTACAAAGGGAAGGTTTCCAGTGAAATTCTTGTTGCAGTCAAAGTGCTGAATGATTCCAATGGGAATGGAGAAGAGTTCATCAATGAAGTCGGGATAATAGGAAAGATCCACCATGTTAACGTGGTTCGTTTGGTAGGGTATTGCGCTGATGGATTTAGACGGGCACTTGTGTACGAGTACTTGCCAAATGAATCCTTGGAGAAATACATATTTTCAACAGAGTCAAAGAATGTAGCCCTGAGTTGGAAGAAGATTCAAGAAATAGCTCTTGGTATAGCTAAAGGGATCGAGTATCTTCATCAAGGTTGTGACCAGCAAATCCTTCATTTCGACATTAAACCCAGCAACATCCTGCTAGATCACAACATGAATCCCAAAATTTGCGATTTTGGATTGGCAAAACTGTGCTCCAAAGAGAAAAGTGCTGTCACCATGACGGCTGCCAGGGGAACCATGGGTTACATTGCACCAGAAGTGGTGTCAAGGAATTTTGGCAAAGTGTCTCACAAGTCCGACGTTTATAGCTTTGGCATGTTGCTTCTGGAAATGGTTGGAGGAAGGAAGAATTTCAATGCTAAAGAGGGAAGTGACACCAGCCAGCAGGAGCAGGAGGGTAGTTTTCCAGAATGGGTGTACAATCACTTGAACAGAGGAGGAGAGCTGCAAATCCGTATCGAGGAGGATGATGATGAAGCAATCGCGAAAAAACTAGCAATCATAGCTCTATGGTGCATCCAGTGGCAACCTGTGGACCGGCCATCAATGAAAGTGGTGGTTCAAATGCTGGAAAGAGAGGGAGATGACTTGGTGCTGCCCTTTAGCCCTTTTGCAGGCTCTCAAATGTGAATCACCACCACAATAATGATCTATGTCCTTCTGCCTCTTTTTTACAAGAATGAGTTGAAAGACAAAAATCCCAATTTGAATGGATTCCATCTGGTTTAACACAGAATATTACTAACACAGTTACGTCGAATTTTATTTGGACAACACATGTAATAACATATGATTACCATATTTTTGAAAATTTATTATATCTATCTTACCATAAGGTCAACATAATATGTAAGGTAGTAGTAAGTTGAACAGAGCAGCAAAGTGATAATAATGGGGCCATCTAATTGGCTAATTGCACACCGCGCTTAAGTGATTACATACTCCCTTTAATCGACAATTATACCTATGCTGTTGGAACTAGCAGAATTGGGCAAAAATGATATGGATCCAGATGATTCTGGCATGGAACTCTGTTCTTGATCCACTTCCATAATTGGCTCCGAAAGAAAAGTATCAGTTGGCATTTGCAGCAGCTCAACATCTCCTTCAAGCATTTCAACTACCCTACTCATTGAAGGCCTCGGAATTGGATTGGTTTGGATGCACCAAAGTCCGACAATGGTCATCTTCTTTGTAATTCTCTTCTCGTCCTCATCCAATTCTCCCATGTCAATTGCCTTGCCCTTGTTGATATCATTGTAAATCCAAGACGGGAAGTATTGACTCGACTCATCTTGCCCATTAACTGGGATTTTCTTTAGACCTAATATTTCCATCAGTAGCATTCCGAAGCTATAAACATCGGCCTTGTGTGAAATGGCTCCAATGCTTCTATTGATCAACTCTGGCGCCACATACCCAATTGTCCCACGGGCTGCAGTAAGCGTTACAATGCTTTTATCGGTAGGAAATAGTTTTGCGAGGCCAAAATCAGAGATTTTTGGAATGAAATTCTCATCTAAAAGTATATTATGCGGTTTGATGTCAAAATGTAGAATTTGGATGTCACAGCCTCGATGCAAGTAATCAATCCCACGAGCTACTCCCACTGCAATTTCAAACTTCCTTTGCCAATTCAACAAACTTGCATCAGGTCCTTGATTAATGTATTTGTCAAGGGATCCACTAGACATAAAGTCGTAGACAAGAGCACGTTTAGAATTCTGTGCACAATATCCAACAAGTCGAACAATGTTAACATGATGAATCCTTCCCATAGAAGCAACTTCATTGATGAAATCTTGGCCGTTCGACTTGGGCTTGCTTATTATCTTCACTGCAACGTCGCGGCCACTTCGAAGTTGTCCTTTGTAAACAGAACCAAAGCCCCCTTCTCCCAGCTTCTCCTTGAAGGCTTTGGTCATATTCTTGATGTGCCTGTAGGAGTAGCTTATGGGCAACAGATTGTTGTCGGCGCTGAGGAAATTTTCGATTGGTTGGAACACTGATAGATGCCTTCTGCGGAATTTGATAATTAGAAACACAAGGGCGCATGGAACTCCAATTATAATCTTTGGTGAAGAGATTATAGCCGCAAGCATGAGGAAATCTGCCAAATATTAGAAATGGCATTAACGAAATTATAGTAAAAAGAGTGTTAGTGTAGTGTTATATTTACAGAGCAGAGCAGTTGGTAAACTGGTGACAAGAGATTGAGTTCTTACTCATAAAATAAAACCATATTTTCGCCCCTAATGTACCTGCATACAACAATATTGTGATGGGAAAGAAGTTAGAGACATGATCTGCAAAAACTACTACAATGGATCTAATTAATTAATGACTCATTAACATGAAACATAATGAAATAATAATCAGGACAGAATTGAACAACATAATAATAAATTAAATTATATATTGAACTGATGTTTCCTGCAGCTAGCTAGCATCCAAGATAAGTAACTTTTCATTCTTACCATAGATGTATGGGTAGCAACTAATCTCATTTTTGAAGTCAAGGTAACACCCTCTACTCCCGCAATTCTGTTGACAAATAGCCGGGAACCAGGATACCTCAAATCCATACATCAAAGCATCATGGGTTTCCAAAAGACTACTACTTACATTCTTCTCTTGAATTCGCAAGGAAGAAGTCATAGTTATGAGCTCAACCCGGCATGAAATTCTTAAATCCGATGCATCAAGGGGGCCTATCTTAGCATAAGCATAGCTCCCAAAAGAGTCGTCACTGCTTTTATTATTCCAACACTCTTTAGTGATTTCTACAAAAGCAGAAGACTTCATTGGGAACTGACACCTCAAGAAAATAACTGGCGTGGTAATTAAGGAAAACTCCATTCTTGAATCCGGTGTCATCTTGGCACGTTTGATGCTATATGGATATGGGTATCCAACAAAACTGTACTGAGCTAATGCATATCGGGGAAAGGAGCACAAATTGTTTTGTTGTATACCAGGATCAACCGCACGGATGGTGTAGTTATTGTAATTGATGGATTGGACATAGTATTTCTGGGACTTTAAAGTTAACACTGTTCGGTTTTGTTCACAGGTTAACTCGTATTCGGGATTGCCACAATTTTCAGGATCGGTATTTAGCCGAAAAGGGGAGCTAATATTGTTGATGCTCCCGCAGGAAGAAGGGTTGCAGTGGGTGGTATTGGAATGCCTTGAGAAATGGATAACAAGTATGCATACGACGGAGGAGACGACAAGTATACATATGAGGAATGGTATGAGAGTTATTAGGTATTTTGATCTCAAGGCAATAAGCATTTTTATTTGTTGAGGGGATGGGATCGGAGGTTCGATCGATTTAGGAAAGGAAGACGAACGATTGAACGAAGGCCGGCTTAGTTGTTTTTCCCCGGCCAGATAATTAATTATTAAGATATATGCATGCTTAGCCGTTTTCAGTAATCAATTCATTTTAACTAGTAGACATGCATGTGGAGTCAAATATGTAGTCCGTAACAGGTATAGTCAATGACGCTTGTTGCCCAATCGTTATATCGTGCACATGTGCGCCATGTCCAAAATGACGTTATTTTTATATTAAGATTTTATGTGTATAATATTAAGAGTTTATGTGTATTATGTTAAGAGTTTACATGTATTTTGTTAAGAATTTATGTGTATTATGTATTATGTTATGAGTTTATGTATATTTTGTTATGAGTTTATGTACATTCAAAACAGGATTTTTTTAAAAGTTAACGATAGAAACGGAAAATGAAATTTCAAAAAAAAAAAAAAAAACATATACAAAACGACATCATTTTGATCAGGGCGCAAAATGCACGATATAATTTGCCGTCACATCCATGCCTCCTTATTGAGGAAACTTCACAGAAATTTCCACAATCCTTGTAACACCCTCCTTTGACTAGAATAATTTTCCATCATCTCATTGTTATTCACTAAATTTAAGTGGCAAAAAAAAAAAAAGAGTAAATACCCAAAATGGTCCCCCGACTATAACTAAATTTATAAACTGGGACTCGACTTTCAATTTCAATCAATTAAGTCCTTATCTTTACAATTTTGACACGATTTGGTCCTCCATCTATTTGACCGTTTGTTGACCGTGATCGACGATCTCCAGAAGAACCTTCAGCTCTAGTCGGAGCAAGTGGAGGCCTCCAAGATAGCGTTGCACCGGTTCGGAAACACGTCGTCTTCTTCGCTCTGGTACAAACTCATCAACTACATTGAATCTAAAGGGAGGATGAAGAAAGGCGACCGGATTTGGTAGATTGCTTTCGGCAGTGTATTCGAATGTAACAGTGCGGTCTGGAAATGCAACCGGAACCTTAAAAAATCGATGATGGACCATGAAATTACATATATATCCTCAAAAATCACAGTCAACAAACGGTCAAATAGACAGAGGACTAAATTGTGTTAAAATTACAAAGTTAAGGACTTAATTGGTTGAAATTGAAAGTCAAGAACTAATTTGTGAATTTAGCTATAGTTGAAGGACCATTTTGGGTATTTACTAAAAAAAAAAAGAAAAAAGAAAAGAAGTTAATAGGACCTGTTCTTAGACGGCAAATTATAATGCAAGGTGGACCCTTACCAATGAATCCTTAGAGATGCAGAAGCTCATCATCTTCTTCACAGTGTTACTTCCATTGCTTGCTGCGGGATTTGATGACTGCCCGGAGACCAGGTGCAGAAAACACGGCCCCCCTATCCGTTTCCCTTTCAAGCTCAAACATATTCATGCCCAACACTGTGGCTATCCCGGATTTGAGTTATTCTGTGATGATAGTGGCAACACCGTGATGGAGTTGCCCCATGCACTCAAATTACACGTTCAAATGATTCACTATGAGTCCCAGCACATCTTGCTATTTGATCCTCATGGTTGTCTTTTCGGCAAGACACTATTATACCTTAATTTATCTCAATCTCCATTCCAATATTCCAGCGCAACACTCACCAATTACTCCCTCTTCAACTGTTCTGCATCCAATAATCCTGAAAATTTTGATGTTGATCAAGGGTTAATTTCCTGTATTGGTGTTCCTGGTCACTCAATATTTGCCATTCCTTCCTATCAGTCCATCGATGAATTCCCTTCCCCATCTTGCCTAAAGTTTCGTGAAACTACAATCCATTATCGGATATATCCTTCTGAGGATACTCTTCAACTTAGTTGGTTAAGTCCATTTTGTTCGACATGTGAGGTACAAGGAAAAAATTGTGGGTTGAAGAACCATAATAACATCACACTGGGAGTTCAATGCCTTGGCACAACAAAGAGAGCTGGTAGGTACTCTGTTACGTTCGTTATTGATTGTTGATTTCTTTCATTTGAAATAACAGATCGATTGAGATACAGTATGTAACAATGTAGCAGAGCACCCTCTAACTTTATTTTCCCAAATTTATAACAGATCCACCAGGATCCAAAAACCCAATTATTGCAGGTCATCATACTATACTCTTCCAATTATTTTATTGTTATGTTTATTCAGTCTCATTATATATATTCCCCAACATATATACATATATGCAGGTGCCATTTTGGGCTTCTTTCTGTTGGCATTTGTCAGCTTTGGCGCCTACCAGTTTTACACCACCGGTAAAACGCAAAAACAGAACCAGAAAAGAGTTGAAAAGTTTTTGGAGGATTACAGAGCTATCAGGCCAACAAGATATGGCTTTGCTGATATCAAGAAAATCACTAATCACTTTAGTGAGAGACTGGGAGAAGGAGGTTATGGAATTGTGTACAAAGGGAAGCTTTCCAGTGAAATTCACGTCGCAGTCAAAGTGCTGAATGATTCAAAGGGGAACGGAGAGGAGTTCATCAATGAAGTCGGGATAATAGGAAAGATTCACCATGTTAACGTGGTTCGTTTGGTTGGCTTCTGCGCCGATGGATTTAGACGAGCACTGGTGTACGAGTACTTGCCAAATGAATCCTTGGAGAAATACATATTTTCAACAGGTGGCTCTAAGAATGTTGCCCTGGGTTGGAAGAAGATTCAAGAAATAGCTCTTGGTATAGCTAAAGGGATCGAGTATCTTCATCAAGGTTGTGACCAGCAAATCCTTCATTTCGACATTAAACCCAGCAACATCCTGCTAGATCACAACATGAATCCCAAGATTTGTGATTTTGGACTCGCAAAACTGTGCTCCAAAGAGAAAAGTGCTGTCACCATGACGGCTGCCAGGGGAACCATGGGTTACATTGCACCAGAAGTGGTGTCAAGGAATTTTGGCAAAGTGTCTCACAAGTCCGACGTTTATAGCTTTGGCATGTTGCTTCTGGAAATGGTTGGGAGAAGGAAGAATTTCAATGCTAAAGAGGGAACTGACACTAGCCAGCAGGAGCAGGAGGGTAGTTTTCCAGAATGGGTGTACAACCACTTGAACAGAGGAGGAGAGCTGCAAATCCGTATCGAGGAGGATGATGATGAAGCAATCGCGAAAAAACTAGCGATCATAGCTCTATGGTGCATCCAGTGGCAACCTGTGGATCGACCATCAATGAAAGCGGTGGTTCAAATGCTGGAAAGAGAGGGAGATGACTTGGTGCTGCCCTCTAGCCCTTTTGCAGGCTCTCAAATGTGAATCACCACAATCAGTGGCAGACTCAGAAAAATAGTTGAGTGGAGGCGAAGTTCAAATAATAAAAATAGTTTATAAGTCTGTAACAAAATGTCAAGCATCAAGATCTTCTAAATTAGGGACAGATTCATAAACTTTTTTCAGTGGGGTGGCGAAACATTAAAACAAAAGAGATGACTTAAAAAAAATGAAGCACTTAAGAAGTTAACCATAAATATTATTAGATATGAACGAAAAATAAAACACATCAAAACTTTATAAAATATTTATAACAAAATAGGAAACATAATTAATTTGATAAAATAATTCTAATACAAAACACATTATAAATTACACATTTCATTATTAATATAAAAGTATATATAACCATTATTTTGTATTTTGAAAGCCTCACCAAGTGCATTTCATTAATAATTAATATAAAAGTATATATAACCATTATTTTGTTTTTTGAAAGCCTCACCAAGTCATCATTATTATTCAAATAGCCACAAAAATTGCATTCACGTCACTATGCCATAACACAAATTCAAACCCTTGACATTCCAGGACCAAATACAGGCGCTCAACCATCTGATCTAACCTATTTGTTGTTAACATTTGCTGTTTTCTTTTACTTATACTATACCTTGAACTATATATACATATATACATACAAGGTTATATATGGGGTGGGGGTGGGGGTGGGGTGAGTGGGGGCAGCTGCCCCCACTGTAGGTCCGCCACGGACCACAATGATGATCTATATCCTTCTGGCTCTTGGACAGCTTTTTTACGAGAATGAGTCGTAAGATCAAAATCACAATTTGATTGAATTCATCTGGTTTAACACTGAATATTGAACACAGTAGAATTTGAATTGGACAACACATGTAGTAACATATGCTTACCATATTTTTAAAAATTTATTATGTATATCTTACAATAAGGTCAACATAATATGTAATTAAGGTAGTAGTAAGTTGAACTGAGCAGCAAAGTGGTAATAATGGCGCATGTAATTGCACACCGTGCTAAAGTGATTAGATACCCCTTTAATCCACAATTATACCTATGTTGTTGGAACTAGCAGAATTGGGCAAAAATGCTATGGATTCAGATGATTCTGGCATGGAACTGTGTTCTTGATCCACTTCCATAATTGGCTCCGAAAAGAATGTATCAGTTGGCATTTGCAGCAGCTCAACATCTCCTTCAAGCATTTCAACCACACTTCTCATCGAAGGCCTCGGAATTGGACTGGTTTGGATGCACCAAAGCCCAACTATGGTCATCTTCTTTGTAATTCTCTTCTCATCCTCATCTTCTTCTCCCATCTCAATTGCCTTGCCCTTGTTGATATCATTGTAAATCCAAGATGGGAAGTATTTACTTGACTCGTCTTGTTCAGTAACCGGTGTTTTCTTTAAGCCTAGCATTTCCATGAGTAGCATTCCGAAGCTATATACATCAGCCTTATGAGAAATAGCTCCAATGCTTCTATTGATCAGCTCTGGCGCCACATATCCAATTGTTCCACGAGCAGCAGTAAGCGTTACAACGGTTTTATCGGTAGGAAATAGTTTCGCGAGACCAAAATCAGAAATTTTTGGAATGATATTCTCATCTAGAAGTATATTGTGCGGTTTGATGTCAAAATGTAGAATTTGGATGTCACAGCCTCGGTGCAAGTAATCAATCCCACGAGCTACTCCCACTGCAATTTCAAACTTCCTTTGCCAATTCAACAAACTTGCATCAGCTCCCTCGTTAATGTATTTGTCAAGGGATCCATTAGACATGAAGTCATATACAAGAGCACGCTTAGAATTCTGTGCACAATATCCAACAAGTCTAACAATGTTGACATGATGAATCCTTCCCATGGAAGCAACTTCATTGATGAAATCTTGGCCGTTAGAGTTGGGCTTGCTTATTATCTTCACTGCAACATCACGGCCACTTCGAAGTTTGCCTTTGTAAACAGAACCGAAGCCCCCTTCTCCGAGCTTCTCCTTTAAGGCTTTGGTCATATTCTTGATGTGTTTGTAGGAGTAGCTGATGGGCAACAGATTGTTGTCGGCGCTGAGGAAACTTTCAATTGGTTCGAACACTGATAGATGCCTTCTGCGGAATTTGATAATTAGAAACACAAGTGCGCATGGAACTCCAATTATAATCTTTGGTGCAGAGATTATAGCCTCATATATGCCCACAGCTGCAAAATATTACAAATGCCATTAACAAAATATATAAAGAGAGTGGTGGTGTTATATTTACAGAGCAGTTGGTAAATTTGTGACAAGAGGTTGAGTTCTTACCCTGAAGACAAAACCATATGTTCTGTAATATACCTACATACAACAATATTGTGATGGGAAAGAATTATAAGTTAGAGACATGATCTGCAAAAACTACTAAAATGAAACTAATTAATGACCCATCAACATTAAACATAATGAAATAATAATCAGGACAGAACAACATATTAATAAATTAAATTATATGATGATCGATTGGATCTCTGTTTCCTGCTGCGGGCATGCAATGAATTCAAGATAAGTCACTTTTCATTCTTACCATAGAAGTATCCGTAGCAGCTAATCTCATTTGTGAAGTCAAGGTAACACCCTGTACTCCCGCAATGCTGTTGACAAATAGCCGGGAACCAGGATAGCTCAAATCCATACATCAAAGCATCATAGATTTCCAATAGACTTCTACTTACATTCTTATTCTCTTGAATTCGCAAAGATGAAGTCATAGTTATGAGCTCAACCCGGCATGAAATTCTTAAATCCGATGCATTGAGAGAGCCTAGCTTAGCATAAGCATAAGCATAGCCCCCAGCCCCGGAAGAGTCTTTAGTACTGCTTTTATTCCAACACTCTCTACTGGTTTCTACAAAAGCAGAAGACTTCACTGGGAACGGACACCTCAAGAAAATAATTGGTACAGTAATTAAAGTTGAGTCTTGCCAGCCATATGGTGTCTTGTCAGGTGTGGCGATGCCATATGGATAACTGTGACTATATCTTAAAAAAGTGTAGTGAGCTGAAGCATATCGTGGAAAGGAGCAGATGTTGTTTTGTTGTACACCAGGATCAACCACACGGACAGTGTAGTTTCCGTAATTGATGGATTGGACATAGTGTTAGATATATTAAATATAATATATTTAATGTAATGTATATTAAATATAATATAATATATCTATAATATATATTAAATATAATATATCAATATATTATATTTATATATTGAGAGAGAAGAGAGAGGAATGAATAATGTTATTTGAAGGGATGATTGACAAATGAATACAAACCACATATTTATACTAAATGAAAGCTACTAATCAGGAAGCTAATGCTCCATGTACTAATGCTATAATTTAGGCCACTCTTCACATACAATGCATGACCCACACCCATTACTTTCATTATTTTCAACAAATTAACTAATTATTAATTACTTGCTTGGTTTAATAATTATAATAATAATATTATTATAACATTGCCTCCTTTAAACCAAGTTGGATATATTGGTCATTCCAATTTCCTTCTTCAATTTGAGAAATGTCTCTATCTTCAGCGGCTTCGTAAAGATATCTGCAACTTGACATTCACTTGAACAATACTCAATGTTGATTTGCTTTTCAGCAACCAACTCTCTGATTTTGTGATACTTGATATCAATGTGTTTGCTGCGACCATGAAAGACTGGATTTTTGGACAACGATATTGCTGATTTGTTGTCACAAAAAATAGTTGTAGGCGCTTCTTGGTTGTGTTGTAGAAATTCCAAAATTCTCCTCAGCCAAACTGCTTGAGTAGCACAGTTTGCTGCTGCAATATATTCTGCTTCTGCGGTTGAAAGTGCTACAATCTGTTGCTTCTTTGAAGACCAAGAAAATATGGCCGAACCAAGATAGAAGGCATACCCTGACGTGCTTCTTCTAGTCTCAACATCTCCAGCCCAATCACTGTCTGTGTACCCAACAAGTTCCACAGTTTCATTAGTAGAGTAAAAAATTCTATCATTACTTGTACCTTTGACATATCTCAGAATTCGCTTTGCTGCAGCCCAATGTGATTCTTTTGGTTCCTCCATGAATCTGCTAAGAATTCCAACTCCAAAAGAAATATCTGGCCTTGTTGCCACCAGATACCTCAAACTCCCAATTAAGCTTTTATAAGATGTAACGTTCACATTCTTACCACACTCATCTTTGGACACCTTTAACTTTTCAGCTAACGGAGTCGAAACTGGTTTGGAGTTTTCCATTTTGAACTTTTTCAAAATATCAGCAGCATACTTCTTCTGTGAAATAAAGATTCCACCATCCATCTGAATAACCTCAAGGCCAAGAAAGTAAGACATAAGGCCCATATCGGTCATTTCAAACCTCTTAATGAGTGCCTCCCTGAATTCTGAGATTAGCTTCAAGTTGTTTTCAGTAAAAACCAGATCATCAACATACAGACAGATTAAAACAATATCACCAGAATCCATGCATTTGACATACAAAGTGTGTTCATGAGGACATCTCACAAAACCACTTTCAACAAAATATGAGTCAATGCAACCATACCACGCCCTAGGCGCTTGCTTTAAGCCATACAAGGCTTTTCTCAACCTGTACACTTTATTTTCCTTAACCATTCGAACTGTATCAAGTCTACTTACAGGAGCAAAAACCTCAAAATAATCAATACCTGGTTTCTGCTTGTAACCCTTTGCTACTAACCGTGCCTTAAAACGGTCAATTTCTCCATTTGACTTGTACTTCGTTATGTAAACCCACTTCACTCCAATTGGCTTCTTTCCAGGAGGTAAATCTGTTAACTCCCAGGTACCATTCTTTTCAATGGCACGGATCTCCTCATCCATCGCCTTAAGCCAATGAGTTTCTGTAGCAGCCTCCTCAAAAGTTAAAGGATCACAATCTGCAAAGAGAGCAAATTGAACAATTTCTTCATCAGACAGGTCATTATCATGACCCAAAACATAATCTTGCAAGCGAGCTGGTAAGTGGCGCTCGCGCTGAGATCGTCGAACTGACGACTCTGGCTGTGAAGGAGACTGGATATTATCTGGAATCGGTTGCTCTTCAACAATATTTTCAACAGCAGGAATAACAATTGAACTTTCATCTTTAGCTAACCAATCCCAGGCACCATATTCATCAAAAGTGACATCACGACTTATAACAACCTTTTTAGTTTCAGGATTGTACAGTTTATAAGCCTTTGAAGCGTCACTATAACCAATGAATATGCACTTCTCACCTTTATCATCCAACTTCTTTCTCAATGGATCCGGCACGTGGGCATATGCCAAACATCCAAAAACCTTGAGATACTTGATAGAGGGTTTTCTCCCACTCCAAGCTTCTTCGGGCGTCTTATCACGGACACTCTTAGTTGGACACCTATTCAACACATAGACAGCACAAGCAACAGCTTCTGCCCAAAAAGGTTTAGGCAGATCCTTGGATTTCAACATGCACCTTACCATATCCATGATAGACCTATTCTTCCTCTCAGCCACTCCATTTTGTTGTGGAGTGTATCTAGCTGTCATTTGGTGCTGAATACCCTTTTCTTTCAGAAAATTATCACAAGCAATATATTCTGTACCTCTATCAGTTCTCAAGATTTTAACTTCATAACCACTTTGCTTTTCAACAAAAGCCTTAAATTGTTTGAAAACATCACATGCTTCAGACTTTTGCTTCAGAAAGTAAACCCATGTTTTCCTACTGAAATCATCAATGAAAGTAATAAAGTACTTACAACCTCCATATGAGGGAACCTCCAACGAACACAGGTCTGAGTGAACAATCTCCAACTGTTTTGTGGCTCTCCTTGACTTGCCCACGGGAAAGGGATCTCTATGCTTCTTCCCAATCACACAAATCTCACAGATACGATTAGGGACATTCACAACAGGTAAATCAGAAACAAGTTCCTTTCTCGCAAGATAGTTTAACCCAGAAAAATGAAAATGCCCAAACCGCATATGCCATAACCAATTATCATCACAAACTTCAGAATTAAAGCAAGCAAGGAGAGTATGCTTAATTTTCAAAGGAAATAGTCGATTTTGGGACATATTTACCTTTGCAATCAAAACTCCTTTAGCATCTGCAATGGTACAACACCCCTGAGCAATATGTATCTTATATCATTTTTCTGACAACTGACCCATACTCAACAAATTTTGGTGTAGTTCAGGAACATAGAACACATCGGATATAAAATTGTGAGTACCATCCTTCAACTGAATAGAGATTTTACCTTTTCCCAAAATTGGCACCTTTGACTTATTGCCAAACGTTACTTCAGACCGGACTGATTCATCTAGTTCGGAAAACAATTCTTTCTTCCCACACATATGGTTACTACACCCAGTATCCAAGAACCATATGTTCTTATCTGTAGAAAAACTATCGCTGGCCAAAAGTAAAGTTTCAGAACTCTCACCAGACTTTTCAGCAATGTTTGCTTGATTTCCACGATTGTTGTCCTCATTATACCAACAATCTGCAATCTTGTGCCCATACTTGCCACAATTGTAGCAATGAAATGGAAATTTACCTTGTTTGGTATTACCTCTACCTCTTCCTTGGTTGGAGTTACCACGTCCTCCTCCTTGGTTGAAGTTACCACGACCTCTTCCACTAGAACCTCCTCTTCCTCTTCCACGACCTCTACCAGATCCTCCACCTCTTTGATTAGTGCCAGTCACATTAAGGGTGACTTGACTCTTCAAAGCTTCTTCTGCTAGTGGTTCCGATTTTGACGCAATCCTGTCAATATGACTTTCTACCATACCTTTCAGCTCTGCAATTGATAAGAGCTCGGTTTTGTGTGACTCTGTTATTGAAGCCACCACATGGTCATACTTCATCGGCATAGTTCGAAGAACTTTTTCAACCACTGCACCATCTTCAATCGTATCTCCATATAGTCTCATCTTATTCACCATATCAATAAGACGAGTGAAATACGCATCTACTGTTTCTGTAGAGGTCATCTCACAATTATCGTACAACCTTCTCAACGACTGCAACTTAGACTTCTGCGCCCGATCGACTCCTTTGTGTGACACCTTTAAGATGTCCCAAGCTTGTTTTGCTGTTTGAGCACGAGCTAATTGCCCAAAAATGGAATAATGAACACCTTGGTGAATCTGACCCAAGGCCAATTTATCTCGCCGTATAGCGCCTGCATTAGCTCCTTCGGGTAGACCGGGATCAACAAAGCTCCAAAGATTTTGAGCTTGCAAATGTGTGGACATCATAATTTGCCAATAATTGTAATCGAGGTTCCCGTCCAATTTGGGACCCGACCATACAATATTGAAATTTGTTGCCATATTTCACTACGGAAAATATTTCGGGGTTGAAAGGTTGACTGGCTTTGATACCAAATGTTAGATATATTAAATATAATATATTTAATATAATGTATATTAAATATAATATAATATATCTATAATATATATTAAATATAATATATCAATATATTATATTTATATATTGAGAGAGAAGAGAGAGGAATGAATAATGTTATTTGAAGGGATGATTGACAAATGAATACAAACCACATATTTATACTAAATGAAAGCTACTAATCAGGAAGCTAATGCTCCATGTACTAATGCTATAATTTAGGCCACTCTTCACATACAATGCATGACCCACACCCATTACTTTCATTATTTTCAACAAATTAACTAATTATTAATTACTTGCTTGGTTTAATAATTATAATAATAATATTATTATAACACATAGTATTTCTGGGACTTTAAAGTTAACAATGTTCGGTTTTCTTCACAGGTTAACTGGTAATCGGGATTGCCACAATGTTGTGGATCAGTATTTAGTCGAAAAGGGAAGCTAATATTGTGTATGGTCCCGCAGGAAGAAGGGTTGCAGTACTGCTGGCTGTTGGAAAGCAATGAGAAATAATGGAGTATGCATATGAGAATTAGGTATTTTGATCTGATGAAGGCA